TTCCTTGGAATCTCCACATGGACACAAGCATGGGATACTAGGGACCTATTCTTCCTCGTAATACCCACATGGACACAAGCATGAGATACTAGGGACCTATTCTTCCTCGTAATACCCACATGGACACAAGCATGGGATACTAGGGACCTATTCTCCCTTGGAAACCCCACAGGGAGACAAGCATGGGATACTGGGGACCTATTCTTCCTCGTAATACCCACATTGACACAAGCATGGGATACTGGGGACCTATTCTCCCTTGGAAACCCCACAGGGAGACAAGCATGGGATTTCGGGACCTGTTTCGATGGGTAATCTAGACGGGTTATTCTTTTGCACTAACAATGTATATATTTCCTGGAATCTCCATAGGGGCTGCCCAAGTCAACCAGATAAATCTACAAGTGCTGCCAGGGATGTCCTTACTGCTCTGACTAGCCCATCTGTGACAGACATGTCCTTGGTATTCCTGGGTTAATGGATCACTGGGGCAGATAGTATTTGTGATAAGCTCCTATGTTGTAACCACAGATGTTCTTTCATAATAAAAAATAACATGGAATGTGGACTCGACATAGGCTTGCGTGTTACGTGGCTTTTGATGAGAGAGTGTTGGTGACAAGGGGTATGGACAACGGTTGGTGACAACGGTTGGTGACAACGGTTGGTGACAACGGTTGGTGACAAGGGGTGGTTACAGTGTTGATGACAAAGGTGGTGACATGGAGTGGTGACAAGTAGTGGTGACAAGTAGTGGTGACAAGTAGTGGTGACAAGGGAAGGTGACAAGTAGTGGTGACAAGGGTGGTGACAAGGGTGGTGACAAGTAGTGGTGACAAGGGTGGTGACAAGTTGTGGTGACAAGGGTGGTGACAAGGGAAGGTGACAAGTGAGTCAGTGAGTGAGTATGGTTTTACGCCGCTTTTAGCAATATTCCAGCGATATCACGGCGGGGGTCACCAGAAATGGGCTTCACACATTGTACCCATGTCGGGAATCGAACCCGGGTCTTCGGCGTGACGAGTGAACACTTTAACCACTAGGCTACCCGACCGCCCCGAAGGTGACAAGTAGTGGTGACAAGGGTGGTGACATGGAGTGATGATAAGTAGTGGTGACAAGAGATGGTCACAAGTAGAGGTGACAAAGGAAGGTGACAAGTAGAGGTGACAAAGAAAGGTGACAAAGGAAGGTGACAAGTAGTGGTGACAAGGGAAGGTGACAAAGGAAGGTGACAAGTAGTGGTGACAAGGGAAGGTGACAAGTAGTGGTGACAAGGGAAGGTGATAAGTAGTTGTGACAAGGGAAGGTGACAAGTAGTGGTGACAAGGGAAGGTGACAAGTAGAGGTGACAAAGGAAGGTGACAAAGGAAGGTGACAAGTAGTGGTGACAAGGGTGGTGACAAGGGAAGGTGACAAGTAGTGGTGACAAGGGAAGGTGACAAGTAGTGGTGACAAGGGAAGGTGACAAATAGTGGTGACAGGGGTGGTGACAAGGGGTCATGACAAGGGATGGTGACAAGGGTGGTGACAAGGGAAGGTGACAAGGTTGGTGACAAGGGTGGTGACAAGGGAAGGTGACAAGTAATGGTGACAAGGGTGGTGACATGGAGTGATGACAAGTAGTGGTGACAAGGGATGTGACATGGGGTGGTGACAAGGGATGGTGACATGCAGTGGTGATAAGGGATGGTGACACGGGTTGGTGACAAGGGATGGTGACAAGGGATGGTGACAGGGAGTGGTGACAAGGAGTGGTGACAAGGGTGGTGACAAGGGATCATGACAAGGGATGGTGACAAGGGTGGTGACAAGGGAAGGTGACAAGTAGTGGTGACAAGGGTGGTGACAAGGGTGGTGACAAGGGAAGGTGACAAGTAGTGGTGACAAGGGTGGTGACATGGAGTGATGACAAGGGATGTGACATGGGGTGGTGACAAGGGATGGTGACATGCAGTGGTGACAAGGCATGGTGACATGGGTTGGTGACAAGGGATGGTGACATGGGTTGGTGACAAGGGGTGGTGACAAGGGATGGTGACACGGGATGGTCACAAGGGATGGTGACAGGGAGTGGTGACAAGGGATGGTGACAGGGAGTGGTGACAAGGGATGGTGACAGGGAGTGGTGACAAGGGATGGTGACAGGGAGTGGTGACAAGGGATGGTGACAGGGAGTGGTGTCAAGGGATGGTGACAGGGAGTGGTGACAAGGGATGGTGACAAGGGATGGTGACAAGGGATGGTGACAAGGGGTGGTGACAAGGGATGGTGACAAGGGGTGGTGACAAGGGATGGTGACACGGGATGGTGACAAGGGATGGTGACAAGGTATGGTGACAAGGGATGGTGACAAGAGATTGAGACAAGGAGTGGTGACATGGGGTCGTGATAGTGCTTGGGTCCTGCAGGTGTCTGGCAATATTGAACGTTAAGAGAAAGTACTGATACTAGACATTGGTTATTCTAATGGCAGAGAAATACACAGGCAAGCCCATAAAAGACAGAGATGGTCCTACTTTAAGAATTAGTACTTATATTACATAGAGGTTGTGCCAATGGTAGAGAATCATACAGGCCAAGCCATATATGACAGAGATGTTCTTCTTTTAGATATAGTACTGATACTGGCCGACCCACATAAGACAGAGATGGTCCTATTGAGAAACAGTACTGGAGGTGATGAATACAAGTCAGTCCTGAAAACATTCTCCTTGCCTTGATAAGCACTTGTATACAATTCAGTGTAGGAAATAAAGTGTGACATTTAGAACAGTGAGGAGTTGTTGTCAGGCTGGAATAATTAAGCTGGACATATGACACATGAGAACTGATGTTTTACAGCATTACAGCGTTGCTTATTTGCCTATTTGAGCCCAGGTGACGATGTTTGTTCACTATTAGTTATTTTACCTGGGTCCACAAGCCACACACCCTGAGTGTAAATCATTAGAGCTGACTAAACAACAGACATCCAGAATGATGCAGAGAATATTGTGTTGTCCTTATTTGCTGTGGACATCAGTCCCAGATTAAAGAAACACTAGCCTGTCAGTGTAAATGGGTAATTGATGTTTGTTGATGATGTGCTAATTGTCCAGTCTGTGCCAACTGAGCCAGGGTCTCACATATGACTGTACATGCCGGGACTACTTTCAGACCAGGTTTCATCGCAAGTCCTGATTGAAACTGCTGTTTATCTTTACAATCAATAATTTAATATAAATAAATTATCACAATGGTCGATAGAGAATCTTGTTTCACAAATTTACCTGTGACTCCAAACCTATAAATACCTCTGAAAGTTACATAACACCTTTCCCATGTTTATGTTTACGATCTGTCTCAACATTTACCTGATGATTGCCATACAGTCTTATTTTTTTAGTCCCTTTGTATAAAAGACATATATAGAGAAAACATTTCAAGATACAGCATGAGTGAGTGAGTATGGTTTTACGCCGCTTTTAGCAATATTCCAGCAATATCACGGCGGGGGACACCAGAAGTGGGCTTCACACATTGTACCCATGTCGGGATTCGAACCTGGGTCTTCAGCGTGGCGAGCGAACGCTTAACCACTAGGCTACCCGACCGCCCCTTATACAGCATGAACCAAGCCATGGTATTATTCAGTTATGCTCTATCAAAGAATCTGGTCCTTATGCCTTATACTTGTAAGAACTGACCAAGCATCAGATGGTTACATGTGAATTGGCTGATCGTTCGGCATCAAGCCCATTAGGAACTGGGGACCTATTTTCCCCTTGGATCGCCATCAAGCACAGTGGGTACTGGGGACCTATTCTTCCCTCGGATCACCATCAAACTCAGTGGGTACAGGGGACCTATTCTTCCCTGGGATCACCATCAAACTCAGTGGGTACTGGGTTCCCTATTCTTCCCTGGGATCACCATCAAGCACATTGGGTTCTGGGGACCTATTCTTCCCTGGGATCACCATCAAACTAAGTGGGTACTGGGGACCTATTCTTCCCTGGGATCACCATCAAGCACATTGGGTTCTGGGGACCTATTCTTCCCTGGGATCACCATCAAACTCAGTGGGTACTGGGGACCTATTCTTCCCTGGGATCACCATCAAACTCAGTTGGTACTGGGGACCTATTCTTCCCTGGGATCACCATCAAGCACAGTGGGTACTGGGGACCTATTCTTCCCTGGGGTCGCCATCAAACTCAGTGGGTACTAGGGACCTATTCTTCCCTGGGATCACCATCAAGCACATTAGGTACTGGGGACCTATTCTTCCCTGGGATCACCATCAAACTCAGTGGGTACTGGGGACCTATTCTTCCCTGGGATCGCCATCAAGCACATTAGGTACTGGGGACCTATTCTTCCCTGGGATCACCATCAAGCACAGTGGGTACTGGGGACCTATTCTTCCCTCGGATCACCATCAAGCACAGTGGGTACTGGGGACCTATTCTTCCCTGGGATCACCATCAAACTCAGTGGGTACTGGGGACCTATTCTTCCCTGGGATCGCCATCAAGCACATTAGGTACTGGGGACCTATTCTTCCCTGGGATCACCATCAAGCACAGTGGGTACTGGGGACCTATTCTTCCCTGGGGTCGCCATCAAGCACAGTGGGTACTGGGGACCTTTTCTTCCCTGGGATCACCATCAAACTCAGTGGGTACTGGGGACCTATATTTCCTTGGGATCGCCATCAAGCACATTAGGTACTGGGGACCTATTCTTCCCCGGGATCACCATCAAGCACAGTGGGTACTGAGGACCTATTCTTCCCTGGGATTCCCTTCAATAACACTGGGTAGATAAGTGTCTGAGCCACACAAATGAGTGTTATGGGGGCTTGATGACAAATAACAAGCAGGGTAACTGATACTAGCATGACCTCACTATGGTCAGCTCTAAAGACAAAAATTGAGCATTAGGAGCATCTTCTAACACTAAAGCCTGATATGGATTAGATCTGCTAGGGAAACTGTATGTAAAACAATAATTACATCTTATTGTAGCTGAAATTCCAGGGGTCAATTTGTGTCTTTGTCCTTGGCTGTGTTTGCTCCTGTTCTTCCTCCTTCACACCTAGCTGTACCTGTGTTCCGTCAGCAGCCTTCTCATCTTTGGACCGATATTTGTTCTTCCTGGCATCCTTCTCGAGTGCCTGCTTAAGCCCTCCATGGTGGAAGAACTCAAGGGAGGTGTCTCTGCACCAGTCTATGCGTGACTCTGGCTTCTTGGACCAATGGTCCAGCGCCAGATGGTGCATGGCATCCGCATACTGGGCCAGGACCTCCTTGTTCTGGCAATGGTCATCCCAGATCTTAGCATAATCACCATTATCTGTATAAAATATAGGAAAGACATGATAAATGGAAGAAACTTGCTGCCTGCATAACAAACAGCCGTTCAGGCCTATTTGTCTTATTTTCTTTTTGGTTTATGGTTCCTCCGACCCAAAATACGAAGAATGGTGGAAAAAAAGATATCAGAAAAATTACCAATATTTACAAATATTTATATCACTGCCCAACCCAATACATTTTATATAAGAATAAAAAAGTGAACTCAAATTTGCAATAACAAATCGCAACTTTACAGAAAGAACTCCAGCCACATCCAGGGATCTTGTCATGTCATGTCAGAATTTTACAAAATTATTTTCTCTACTAAACTGATTTTTGGGGGTAAAAATCTGTAAACCAACTAAAAAGATAAAACAGGCCTGACTCAGTGATCACAATGAAGGATTACAAAAGCGGTGTTCTAAGTTAAGGGGGATCCTGGGGTCCTTGAGGTTTGCTACAATAGTATTTGTATTTCGGACACTAAAATCTTTATTTTTTCACATAAAGGCAATGACAAGGAACCCTTGAATTTCATGCTTAATCTCCAACTCTGAATAGGATGCAAAATATTGCATCCTGTACGCACACCAATTACCGTATTCGACGTAATTAGCACCCCGCTCTAATAAGCGCCCATGGCGATATTTTCTGATATATTGGCTTCTGAACAATCCCAATTAGCACCCCTTCCGATTGATCAATGTACACAGGACTTATCTATTCGTGTATAATACGTATGTTATATGCATTTTTAATTATGGAAAATTAAATTATGGAAAAAATATATCTGTCGCATATAAACATATAAGGCTGTCAGCATAAACCACGAAATTTACGATCTTTCAAAACTGTTGTTTTTCACCAAAATAATATTCTAACAAGAGCCCCCTATTTCTATCTTTGAGAGCGCCCTGGGTACTTATTATGTAGAATACGGTATGAATTGGTGCAACATGTACTGTGATATTCCTATGGGCGAAAAAAGTATAGTGCTGGTTGGACCACTGGAACTAAATCTCTATTTCGCTAATAATTCTGAAATATAAATACATATAATTTCAGAGTTTTGACAGTCCATGTCAGATGTCCTTCACTAAAACACTAAATTTCAATGCAAACAAGGAAATTACAGTTAGTGAAAAACATCTTCCCATATAAACTGAACTTTTTGTCCAGTCATCATCCTGGGACCCCATTTTTATGCCTGGGACCCCCAATTACTTTGTGAAATAATCACATACAGGGCTAACAAAATGTCTTAAACCAAACAGGGCAAGAAGATATATTTTTTACTCTTCCTTGCAACAGTTTTTAAATTTATCAAGTTTTATGTTCTCAGTTTTCATTACAATTTTCTGTGATTAATCTTTGGGTTGAGATTATTTACGACAGACAGTACAAAATAATTCACAATCACTGACATCTACATACATCTGTTTTTGAAAACAAATTGTTTCTTCGGCATGTTTGGCAATACAATCATCTTTTTTTTGTCAACCCCACCATCTCCCATTAAAAACTGCCCTATATCAGTCATTTCCCTCACAAAGTCATTCACTTTCACTTTGGCATTTGCGTGTCAGTAGCAAATCGCTTATGACAAAAATAAATAAATATAAATACCCCCCTTTAATATCTAGTTTCGAGACCTGCTGCACAAACGCACTTTCTTTATTTCCTTTTTTAACAGACAGTTGAAAAGTATACCATCTTATATTATTATGAAAGTGACTTGTATTATACTATTAGTACTGAGAATGTACGAGATATGAAAACATATTTTAGCATTTTATATTTAAAACGATCAGAGTGAGTGAGTGAGTGAGTTGGGTTTAACGCCGCTTTTAACAGTATTCCAGTTATATCGTGGCGTGTCAGCTTAATGTGGGAGGAAAGCCCGAGGTGATGCAGGTCTCAGACGTTTACCACTTCGGTGAAACCTCTGAAAAAACGATTAGCGATGAATTGATACGATTGAAGTATGTACTCATCGGGTAGGACGAGTGTTTGTTTAATTCTTTCAAACCCGGGAGATGATGCCACTTGTCAATACGAGTGGACAAGAAGATTTTTCGACCCCTGACATGACATCGTCAGAACATTGATAAAAAGTGAATTATTGACAGATCATACTTTATACTAATTCATCTGTCTTGACAGAGAATAATGCCGAACACTAGGCAGGGTTTACCATCTTATAACGTGTTTAGGTATGACACAGTCAGGGATTGAACGAATGACCTTCCACTTTCTGGACACATGTTCTATCAACTAGCCAACAGGGGCGGTCGCAATTTAGGAGTAAAATAATATGTGTTGCATCTGACTACACAATCACGACATGATGCAGTTCCTAATTTCATATGGCCTTTCCAACACCTACTGCTCCTGAATGAATGCAATGGAACGTAATATTACTAATAAAATATTCAGTTTTTCAATACAATGTCCTGATTTCATAAATATTAACTAATGTCAGCACTAAACCTTCCAGCACCAATCATCATATCAAACTAATCGGGGTTTGACATGAAACAGGAATCCGGAGTATTTGATGAGATTTTTATTCAAAAATACTCTGAATCATGTTTTTGCTGCAACATAATTTAAACAACGTGTTCTAGTCCCAACATATAAATCTGAGGTACAGTCATAAATATCTTAATTCAGCTATTGGTTTCAAAATTAACTCAATATTGTTTATCTGTTCATAAGCTCTTTGACTCGACAGGATGCACGGACCTATACAGGTCCTTTGGAGGATGTAAATGAAAGATAAAACATTTTACTTTAAAGGTTTTTTTTATTCACAAAATTTTGTATACTGATAACAGTTCATGAATAAATGTGTAATTAATGTCTCTAAACTATGATCATTACTCCATAAAAATGCAGAGAGTCAAGATGACACAAAAAGCTTACATATTATACTTGGCATGAAATTACTTGTGAAAGTGTTACAAATATATACACACACAAATATTTACTTTAAAGACAAAATATATACAATGGTTGCGTGTATCATGGTTTAGCTCTTAGCCAGAAATTAAAGTATTGATATTCAGGTATGGCTGTCCATACTTATCTCTGAGTTTCCCATCTCCCGCCTTTCCCCAAAATTTTCATTCTGACATGAATTAATTAAGATTTTGCAAATCAATTTTGCCCTTGGTGGTGAAACATTATGTCCTCATGAGATATAACAATACTACTTACAAATTATTACCACTGCACACTCATACAAAAAACAGGTTAGCTTAATCGTAATTTAGCTACAGGTATTAAAAATTTGTTTCCGAAGAAAAGTGACTCAATCTAAATCATAGAGCAAATTAAAGACTGGTAGCAAGTGTTTTAAACTTTAAAATATCATAAAATATGTTACACGGTTAGTGAAAAACAGTTTGTTTTTTTGCTTTTTATTTTCAAATTTTATTTTGCCTGCCCCTCTCCACCTTCCGGAGGCAAGGGAGTTAACTGACTTTAAAAGTCCAGTTTCTACCCTTGCCGAACTAGGCTGGAATTCTGTGAATTGATAGTGCCACCAGTGCTTATTATTATGAGTTATGTCCCTTTTATGTCCCTCCTCTTGACCAATCAGATTCCACCTATCATATTACTTGCATTTGCTTCAAACAAAATGGTGATGCCCAGTCAAAGCGATCTGATCAATAATAAATACTTGAGCATCTTGATTTAAAACATGAAAAGATTTGGAAAATATCTGTAGACATCCAGTTGACTGTATAATTGCTTTGCAAATCCTGCAATCGACCTAAATCTGCACAGCAGTTTACGAAAAGGATTTTTTTTTATGATGCGAATTTGATTGGACTATGTATAGACTTGTTAGTTCAACCAAAATTCCAAATTCCAGCCTAGACTTTTATAGTCGGTTAACTCCCTTGCCTCAGAAAGCTTCCCCATCTTGTTGGTTGAGGTTAGAGATGAGAAACACATAAAAACATATGGCTGGCTTAATATAGTTAAGTTAACAAAATTGACTCAACACTACTATGATGTAAGTAAAGGTCTATGCTACTAAAGTACTCCCATTTGATCTGTATGATGATATTTCTTTATCAATGGCAATAGTGAGTGAGTGAGTGAGTGAGTGAGTGAGTGAGTGAGTGAGTGAGTGAGTGAGTGAGTGAGTGAGCGAGCTGGGTTAAACATCGCTTTGAACAGTATTCCAGTATTACCACTTTGGTGAAATCTAGAGATCAATATTGTGAGTAACGATCCACACCGCTGGTATATGCCATGCCATCAACCAAGTCACCTAGCCTGACCACCCGATCCATTTGGTCGCCTCTTATGACAAGGTTGAGTTGTTGAAGTCAAATTCTAACCCTGATCATCACATGGGCTTAAAAATGAGTGAATGTTATTTTCACAGTGGCCCGCAACTAACAGAAATCTTGGGGGGGGGGGGCAATGGTTGATAGAGCAACAACTCGGGAAATTGGGGTATGATGGCACACAACCCCTCATTTTGCCCAGCTCTTACTGCAAGCACTGGGAGTCGCAGACCTTTTCAGCCTATAATCCCACATACCATACTTTTTACATGTTCAAAAACCCACATTTAAGGCTTGGACTATATTAGCCATTAAGATGATGTGTGAGTGAGTTTGATTTTACGCCGCTTTTAGCAATATTCCAGCAATATCACGGCGGGGGACACCAGAAATGGGCTTCACACATTGTACCCATGTCGGGAATCAAACCCAGGTTTTCAGCGTGACGAGCGAACGCTTTAACCACCAGACTACCCGACCGCCCCTAAGATGATGTGTAACAGACCCTACATTAATGGAGTGAGACAAAACAACAGTAAAAACTTAAAGATTACTAATACAATAAATCCTCTTTTGATAGGGATATTTTCTTTTTTACCTTTCCATGATACACAAAACTGATTCTCATAATATGTCAAGTGTATATTTAAACAGAATGACATATCTGATCATCCCTATTAAACACACCAACACTGCTAACTTTAGTACAGTGTTGATAATTTATCAACACTCCATTGAGAGATTTATGGTTTTGTTGCTACAAAGCAGCCTCAAGTAAAATTACATATTCCTGTATCCGCTGTAATTTGAGTAGATACTGAAACCCTAAATGTACATGATCACCTTATGACAATTTATTGATGAAATCATTCTTGAAACAGACGTGTGATTTATTTGCAACAAAATTCTGAATTAACATTTATTGATTGAAAGAAATAAAAAAAAAAAATTGTCACCAAATGAATGCTGTTGTTACGTCGGCTGTCACAGTTGTAATGGTGGACCTTTGTGTTTGAACACACAGTAAACCTGTGATATCAGATGAATCAATACTTAGTTAGTATGTTTGTGTCTGGTCATTACGCTCTATACAGCGTGCAAAGGTGATTGACTGAGTGAGTTGGGTTTAACGCCACTTTTAACAGTATTCCAGTTATAGCACAGCGTGTCAGCTTAATGTGGGACGAAAGCCTGAAGGGATGCAGTTCTCAGACCTTTACCACTTCGGTAATACTTATATATTGAACTGTAAGGTTCTTCAAAGTTAGAGTTTTAAAATTTAAAAAGTCTCTAAGTTACAGTTTGTGTCAGTTTTCATAACATACTTTCAAATAAATTATTTTTAATATTGCCTATTGCAACATTTGCATCCCATCCCTGAACTGCAAGGTCATTTAAACATAATCCCGATGTCCAATTATTATATTTAGCCACAGGGCTCTGTAGCTCACCTGAATTCTTCTATAATATAGTACTAGATCAGAGGTGAGGTGAAATGGGGTTTGACGTTGCGTTCAAGATTATTACATGAATACCCCGCTCAGTCACAGTATACTGTTTTAGTCCTTTAATGCCAAGCACCAGGCAGGGTAACAACAAGTACCATCATTTAACATGTTTTGGTATGACGAGGCCGGGGATCGAACACCCGATCTTGCGCTCTCCGGTCAGATGCTCTACCACTAGACCACGGAGGCGGCCTACTAGATCAGAAAGGTCACACAAGTGCAAAGAATGATCAGACAAAGAAGCAACAGAAATCTCTACTTAACAGACATCCTCACAGCATGTTCATTTGACGACACAACAATACATGCATAATTGACGTTGTAGAGGGCCAACATCTCATGTTCATCATCACTGCTGTGGCACTCGTGGCAGCCACAGCAACACATAAAGGTCAAAAGTTATAAATGTGGCAAATATCACAGAACAGCAAAAAACAGCATGTTGTTAGTCATACCACATAACTGTGTATCAAATCTAACAATGGTACATGCAGATATCACAGAGCAACACGTCAAAATTACAAATTCAATATGACAGCCATGTTTATAACAGGATCAGAATTCCATGTTTATAACAGGATCAAAATTCAGTGAGGAATCATGAGACAACATTGCTGGAAATCAGAAAGATAAACTTTAGCTTCATCAACCCAAATGTTTCAGAGGAGATGTCGAAAATAAAGTAAAACAAGACACATTTGGATATGTGAAGGTCAAAGGTTGTACAGGGATCATAAATATAATTATGCACAAAAAAACATGCATTATATGCTACTCTGCATTCCACATACTAACTGCAATTCAAAGGTCATGATGATACGTTCAAAATGAATAATTTGGCAAAAATGACATTTAGAATATGGCTGCCCTGGTGGCCATGTTTGAAATCACATCACACAATTTCAGCTTTATAAACCCAAAGGTTTTAGAGGAGATGTTTTGGATGCATGTTGTGCTTAGCTGTTGGTCATCATATATGAATTGATTGGTATTTTCAAAAGGTGTTGAAGTAAAATGATAGTATGGTGTACAGTGTTGTTGACCGTCACTGGTTTAAGCGTGCACTTCATGCTTTTCTTCACTAGGATAGATTGTAGTGAGGATGTTCGATCACAGGCATGAAGTCAAACACAAGGACTCTTTCCAATCAATGTAAAAACCCTGAGTTTAAAATTACAGTGTCTAAATGATAAAAGACAACAGTCATGTATTAATTCCTGCTTAGGTGAGGTGAGATGAAATTGGGTTAAATGTTGTATTCAAGATAATTGCATTTATAGCAACATGCATACACGCCACATATGTCTATGCAGTCAGATGAGTTAAAAAAGGTTTGCCTATAATAATATTCATATATTGTTTACCTTCATGAATAAAATCAGAGTGTATAACACAACTATTTTTATCTGGGTGCCTTAACTGCCTTTGCACTCATCCAGAGCTCCAGATAAGCTGTGTATCTGCGTAAAATATGCATCAGAAATGCAGAAATGCGCAGTAAAACAAAATCCAAATGTATCAAATACGCAACGAACATTACAGATACGCTACAAAAATAAAACTTGTGTGTATCATCAAAATATTGTGAAGTAACCCTGCGTATTCGGTTAGCAAATCAGCAACTTATTTTGAAATTATAAACGCTCACTCTATCAACCTTGCCAAACTCCACGATGACAGTTACATCATGATCATTTGCCATCACACTTTCTTGTGGAAGTATCGTGGTATTTTTGAGTCCTATAAAGCTCTCAAACACACACAACACCAGTTTGCAGGGACTAGATAGATAGTGTTTTTAAATATTTAACTTAAATACCCACATGTGTAAAAACTAGTAGGTAACAGAAATTTGAATACCCAGACAGAATTACTGATACCCAATGAGGGGCGGTCGGGTAGCTTAGTGGTTAAAGCGTTCGCTCGTCACGCCGAAGACCTGGGTTCGATTCCCGACATGGGTACAATGTGTGAAGCCCATTTCTGGTGTCCCCTGCAGTGATATTGCTGGAATATTGCTAAGAGCGGCGTAAAACCATACTCACTCACTCACTCACTGATACCCAATGATTTCAAAATGCATGGGTAAAATACCCACAACACCAAAAGCTTATCTAGAGCTCTGCTAATCTAAGCACTAAGATGATTATTAACTTCCATACCTTAACACAGACTTACGACAGTCATAATGCTAAGATTGTTTTGTACAACGTCACTCTGGCTGAATGCAAATATATCAAAGATCACATGTAGTGACACAAGGTAACTATTACACTGATGTTCTTAAATGCTTGTGTTCGACTTTTTTCTCCTTGCCAGGGAAGCTGTGGTATAACAGTACTTAGTGCCCTGGGATATTCATGCCTGCTTATTTTATAGCACAGTTGTCCAATAAAACAAGCTTGTGTCCCCCCCCCCCCATTTAATTGCACAGTATCCATATCAATAACAAAAACAGGGCTGGACAAACTATTAGTGGATTTAATTTATTTAATGACTTCATACCAAATATAGTACAGCATATTTCAGACCATGTAAACTCAAATTAAATCAGGATGTAAAACATTTTTGGTATCAAAAACAGCTAAAGACATTCAGTGCAAATGTAGGCAAGGGTTATTAAGTTTATCGATTTCCAGTTGAGAAACTTTGACTGCAGTGTAAACCATGATTTCAATTAAATCATCATGAACATGATGATCATATGCTTGAGAATCTGTGACTTGGACAGTTCCATAGCCATAGTGTCTTCAAACTTTCAAGCTCTAGTGATATCAATAAGAGATAAAAGGGTAAATACTGGCAACAGGAAATACTGTTAGGTTTTTATATCATATGACATTGTCATTACAATAGGAGGACATACAGAACAAAACGGTCTGTACAAACTGTATGAAGCTAAATGGTAAAGTGTCATTATTATTATCCATAAATTAAATGAGCCTACGAAAGGGCTACTGATTCCGTACCTGGACATGACTGTACAGGAATTTGCAATGTTGTCAACACAAAATGTGGAATATTTTTCACAAACGATGTGCATTATTCTGTTTGACACGGGGAATAACACCGGCCAACAGATAATTTCAAACATTTATTTGGTTTAGTAACGAAATACCTTATTCAGCATTTTCTGTTTATTATCGTCAACTCACTTGCTTTGAACTTTTTTCTGAGATCGGCATGAACGCCTTTCACAAATCGTGCTAATCGTTTATGTTCTTCTTTGTCATCTTTTTCTGCAGCTGGATTAGTGGCTGCCATCGGTTATTTTGCACTGTACATAAATTATAATGATATCATTTTGCGTTGGTGAACGAAATTGTCAAACCGGAATGTACGATCAGCTGAGAAGAGGAAGTCCACACAGACAAACTTCAACGCCACCTGGCGGTACAACAGAGAACTACTCGTCCCTTTAAAAATGTCGTCTGCTCGAGTCAGCCATTTGAATATAAAATGAGCTTTAAATGCTACTGTTTCACTAGAGAATGCATTTTGCATTAACTAGTGATATGCAGTATTTCTATATCCTAGATATACCTTAACCTTTTGAGCTCTCATCATAATAATTCAAAATTATTTGATATTTAATCTATTAATATTATAATTGCAAGTGGGAAAGAAAAACGAAGACGGCTGTCAAATTGTACGTTAAAGTTAAGAATCTTTAAAATGATTTAAGTTTTATAACGGTACACTTATCAGAAGTAGATCTAGTCACATCATTATCTTGCCCTAAATATGAAAATCATTCATTGTAAGTCCAGATAAAATCACCATCTATGAATACACTGCTTACTACTTATCATTTCAGTTTTGCCATAATTATTCTAATATCCACCGAAATCTCGCAATAACATGGTTCTCGATCGATTAGTGTGCGAGAGACGTAGCCCATTTCCATACTATCTCATTGTTTGTTATTTTCTGTTTACACAGCAGGTGCTTGTGACGTCACTAGGGCGCCCTCTAACGTCTTAGAACAACAATATGTCGATTCGCGGTTAGAAAATAGGTCCAGTCAAAAACAATTAAATCACTGAAAAGCTGAATATTTTGGACACTTGTAACAGAAAAGAGTCTCACAAATACAACATAATGATTCTTTTCGATACAGATTGTCAATAACCGTTGTTTTTACTCTGATTCGGCGTGCGCGGATTGATATATTTTTATTTACGGCGGCGATGTGTCCGCTCTGTGTTGTCTTACAGAGAGAAAATTAGACTATAACTGCTGGGTTTTGAGCGTGGCATTGCAGATAAAAGGTGAGAAAATTCACTTTTCTTATTAAAATGAAAATTGCAATATTCACTTTTATTCTATGTCACTTTTATGGAATGACATTGGCGACTTTTGGAGAATGTGGCCTTGTTGTTAGCCGAGTCGTGGTTTCATCTGGTGATAAACAATTTGCATAGCAAATGAGCCGTCCTCTCTGAACTTTTCCCCGATTACGTAAAGTATACGCGGAAATTTGATAGGAAGTGTGTTTGAAAAGTGAATGGTTACTACCGGTGGCTTGTCGCTTGAATGGATGACATTGAAGGAATAAAATTGACGAAAGCGGGACAAAGGCAACCGGCCAAGATTGTTGATTTTGTCTTGGCAGCCATTACAGTTTTATAATAAACAAAATGTCCCGATTCCATTGCTATCGATCAAATGGTGGAAGAGCAGCGTTTTTTTCTCAACCAGATTTTCCATTCGTACGCATGATAAGGAACGACACACAATTGATAACAGGACAACAGCATTGTAAGACATTTGGGGGATAGAAATAAACATTTTACTTGACAGCTTAGTCTCGCGCAGTTGAAGGGGACTGTCGGTTCCTGTAAACACGGACTGGCCAAGGATTGTCCAAGGTTAATGTTGTAAAATATCATATCATTTTATTGAAGAAATATGTTTGTATCATATTTCATATAGGTTAAAAAAATGACTTTCTGATTCGTAAGAAATAGATATTGAGAATGGAATTCTTCATTTAACGGGGTGGAAAATGCATCGACTCTGAGACGGCGAAGTAATTCGTGTGTGCGTATTTAATCATCAACGTAAGTCTACGAAACGAATTTATATGTCCTTCAAAGATAGAAATGTCTGAAACATGTGAAACAATGTATTTTTATGAATGGAACATTGACGATATGAAGTAAGTGACGCCTGAAGCAAGTGGCAGATGGAATTCGTGACCAGCTTTTGTTTATTTATTTAGCAGGAAACCCATTGGGTTGGACCAGGGCTCGACTTAGCTACATTGCAATGACTAAATTTCGTTCTGTGTACTCACTAGCTGTCGCGAGGGTTGGTTTGAAAGGGCTGCTAGGCATTGCAGTGTCCCAGCTTTGTTGGGCTGTGGCGTGTTTACTTTGAGGAAATTTGTATTAAGATTTCCATTTATATGATTGGCACATGTATTTGCTGATTGTTATTTTTGTTTACCAATGGCGCGATTGCAAATGCCAGATGTGGGCGCTTTTATTGGGAGACTTTATCTAATGAAACCAGCATCTCGTTTCAGCACAGGGTCTTTGTGGCTCTACCAGTCTTCATAAAGCCTTTTCATATTTGCTGGCTATTTGTAAATATCACCAAATATACCCATGTTCGTCATGGGACTGGGCCTGTAATTGGTGTTTATTTAGGGCCTTCTTTCGTGATAACTATTGGCTGTAGGTTTTCAAGACTATAGAGCATGTTAACAACAATATGAAGAATCCTTCATTAGGATATAGTGCCAACTAAATTACAACCAAATGAGAGAGTGCTAAAACTCAAAAATATTTAAGATGTAAAGATTTTGATTACATGTAACTACTGTAAGTTACACTGAAGTGAACCCATATGAACTTATTCATCAAACCTGACAAGCAGTTTCTAAACATTGAGGAATTTTTTGCAGGTCATGTCATTATGAAATATATATTATTATGATAAAGTTACGATAAATGAAACATAACAATAAATGTTAAATGATATGCATTGTGTTGTCATAAATTATTTTATCAATGAAGTCCTTTTGGGTGAAATCTTTCAATCAGCTATTTATGTTGTGAATTTTACCACATGTGCCCACTAAATGATTTATGTCTGTGTCAGGACGCATATTGTGTAAACCGACCCTGCCTTTATCCTCCTAAGATCAGAATGGATGATGCTGCAATATCATTTCTGCCACATTTTGACTTTATAACTTTTTTATACGACAATTTTAAATTATTCCTTTTTATTGCTTCTGATGCAACAATCCTTCACTCATCTGGTATATTATTTGTTGAGTTTTACTCTCTTGTACCTACAGCGCATCAAGAGCAGTTATGGGTGTCCGCTATATATTTCATCCGTCAAGCATAACCACTGTCATTCAAAACATACAGTACACTACACGATTTCATTACTTTACAGAACCCTCATATTGTCTGCAAGGACCCTTAAAATTAAATAAATGGGGGTCCTCGGATCCCCACGTTTGTAAGGTAAAACTCTGTTTACGTTTCAGGTAATCTGGCGGACCCATTGTCTTACTTGCGACCCAAATGTTTGAATCCATGTTTAACAATTAGAAAACATTTGGATGTTATTGTTTCTGTAGCTATATATTAAATATATATACAAACAAACAACCCACCTACCTACATCCCTACCCATCTCAATCGCCTATCTTTTGGATCCATGTTACCGGACATGTTATTGTAATTTTCTGTAGCAATAGAGTGCATTTTGTAGAAAATATGGCACTTATTTCAAAACAAGTGAAATGATGACTGTCAGCCAAGGTGTTCAGCTGATCAGTGACTAGAGGTAATGAATAATAACTGTAATGAGCATTACACACACACACACACACACACACACACACACACACACACACTATCACTTTCTTGATAAATTTAAAAATGTGTTAATAAAATGACAACTCATTAATAAAATCACATAGAGTTGGTGAAAGACCATGATTCAGGTCACAAATCACATTTGAATTAATTTTCAGGCATCACATTGCCAAGCATTTCATTATTTGAGATGAATTAGTGATGGGTTTGTGTAAATGCAACTTTCCACATCCACAGGCTGGATGAACTAAAAGAAATGACCTGGGTCTCCTGATTAATGTTGAAGATGTGATTTAACTTACTCTTGTTAAGCATTTAACTCACTCTTGTGACCATGGTTACATGGACTGTGGTAAGTACACAAGCAGACAATTGTGAACACCAGAGCCCTGTTATTGCTACATTACACTTACTGGTTGCTTATACTGTGTTCATGTAGGACAAACATCGTTGCACTTCTCAAAGTCATTTTTTTAAAATGAAACTACATCATCTATTTTCTAAAGACTTTTGGATAACCATTTTTTCGCATAATAATTGTCTTGTAGATGTTTTATGGGTAATGCATTGAACCATGGCATATTTACGAACAGATAAAATCTCAGAATTTTGAAAACTATTTACATGTTTCATTGACGCAGTCAAGAGGTCAAAAACTCTTTCCTTTCATCAAGTATGTTGTCCAGTAGGACTTGTCAAACCAGCGGTTGAAAGCATGAGCAACAGTGTTTGTATTATGTAACCACCCAATCCCAGATTGGTTGCTCTGACAACAGGCACACTTTATGGCGACCGTTTCCACCCTGGAATGCTCACCAAAAAATAAAGACCGCCACACCACACAACACAAAATAATAATTTGTGTTATTAATTTATGGGAAGCGTCAACATGATCAGAAATAACAAGTAAAAATAAATGTTTAAAAAAATGGAAAATGTAATAACAGGAAGAGATTGCCTCCTGCCTTCCAATACAAGATTGCCATCTGTCTGTGAAGACATGGGGAGGGGTTCATCAGTTTCAGCGCACCAAACTTTCACATGGGAAGATTGGTAATTTCTGAAGCCAGTTACAAACAAACCTGCCAGCTATAACCTAAACATTGCCTACAATGTCGTCCCTTGCCTGGTCCATGGTTTATAAATGTGGTGTGTATGTAGAGGTTAGCTGGTTTTGACATGGGTTTACAGGATATCATATATTGTTTGGCGTCTCTGTATTTCTGGGGAGGCTTATCCAGCAGACATAAGTAAACAACAAGGCAACCTGTTTGTTAGTCCTCAGGAAAACATGATTCTTGAGATAATGCCATTTTCTATTTATTCTGGCGATATCGTAAATACCTCTGTTGACAACCTTTTATTATAAGTTGAGCTCACCAAGTGCAAGTTTGGGCTTAATGATAAAATCAAGTTTGTGCCAAAGTTTATATTGTGCATTTTGCTGTGACCAAACAGAGCTTTAAGCTTTCCTCACATGCATTGCTCTCACTCTGAAAAAAAGAAAACAATT